GAGTCTTATTTGATACGTTGTAAAATGAAGGACCATTTTTGCCAAAATCAAGAATATTGGGTCATTTTGACAAGCCTGATTGTTACAAAGGAGTATTTTCTATAAACGAAAAGGAGATATCTAGTCAACGAATACATTATTATTATTTATGTAATAAATAACGGATTACAACGATTTTTGCACAAACACCTGTTAGTATTCTAGTCAGACGCATCTTCACAGTGTCTATATATATATATATATATATATATATATATATATATATATATATATATATATATATATATAGTGTACGCTCAAAGTCCTGTAAGAGTTATAACCAGAGTCTCCTGGAGGGGGAGCGGAAATTTGTGTATAGATCTATACGGGGTTGACACCCCGCACCTTCGCTATTCGCTACAGCTAGACCGGCCAGTCTAGGGTGACAAATGTCTTCAACGAAACCGACGCCTGAAGAACGTCAGAACAGGCACTCCGTAATATTAGTATGGTTATAACGACTCACTTAGAATATAACAGTTATTATTTAGAACCTTACGCAAGTTACACCTTTCGATTGTAAACAACTATTGTTTGGATACGTTAAACGAAGCTTTTACCACACAAAGTCTTAGGGTTTCAAGACTACTATTTTATACATCAGAAAATATAGGATTTTCTAGGGAAAACGATTTTATACGCTTTCGAAAACGATAAACTAAACACACAGGTAACTATACTCGATTGGAAACAAGACTTACAACTATTTTGATAAGAAAATATGGGATTTTCTGGTTTTCTAACTATCACAGATTTTTATACAAAATGCTTATGAACTCAGCAACATATTTTATGTTGACGCTTTTCAAACGACTTGTATTCTCAGGAAATCAGTAAGCAGGTTAGTGGGATGTGGATTCAAGTTTATTTTGATGTAGTTTGAAATGTACTCAATGTTGTCTCTTTTGTGTAATTCAAGAACATAAACAAGATGTAAAACAATGTAAGTTTGTTATCTCAATGTATAATGTTTGGATTTGTTATGTTTCATTCATATTCAATTGTTATGATACTGCCCAATGATGTCACCCGCCTCCGGGCGTTTCCGCCGTTCTGGTCCGGGGGTGTGACAATCCTAAACTGATCACTGATATATAAACTCTCGTCACTTCGGAGTAATTCGCTATTCTGATATCTTCACGGAAGTCTTAAAAGCGTTATGAGTTGCGAGTTAATCACTGAACTTCTAAGAAAAACATTTAGATCACTTAAAAAATCAGTTATTATCAATTCTTTTTATTTTCAGGATCTTAACCATGCAAAGGTCTTAGTATTGTATTATGCACGAAACGAAGAAAAACGAAAAGAAAATCAACCATTATATTCAAAAACAAAAAGGCCTACAGCCTTGCAAAAGTCTTGCATCAAAATATTATGCTACCCTAATCGCCTAAAAGGCCTAGACCTTATCATGGTCATCATCGTCCTTCTTCTCCCCCCCCCCCCCCCCCCCCGGTCAGCCGCAACACAAGATCCTGACTGACAGTAGTAGGCTTTCCAGTTAATTTGGCTAATGCCTCGCGCCAACTAACCACGTCCCAGGATCCTGCATTTTTAAGATCTTCAGCCAGACGGATCTTGGCCTCCCAAACGGCCACTGCAACACTGACCTTTGCGTCGGAGATCACCTCCTCCATCTCGCGTACGAGCTCCTCCTCTCTCTCAGCCTTTTCCCTTGTAAGCAGCTCCACCCTCCTCAGAAGATCCTCGTTGGTTGTCTTCCACATCTTCTCCTATCCCTGAAGGGCTTGTTCAGCCCTCTCCGCCCAAATCCTTAAATCAGCGAAAACATGATCAGAGACCTGTGATGAAAATATGGTAAGTCAGCGAAAAACAAAATGAAAAATGGATCGAAAATGAAATCAACACTTACAGCCTGAGAGAAAGAGGCCAACTTTGGGAGCACTTCCTCTTAGGAGGAAGAGAGGACGAACTCTTCTCCTTCTTCACTACCAGTTGATCTCCTGACATAGCTGTATCAAGATCAACAAGAGTAAAGCGAGCACTGGAGCGAGTGACCTTGGATCATGTATACAACAAAGGATTATTAAAGATCCTCATTACAAACAGGAAAAAAGTAAGGATCCTTACCCGTCGACATGAGGTTTGTAGTGGATGAGCTTTCCTGCGGGATGACTTGATCGAATCGGAAGGATCTCTTGACTTCAGATAAGGCCAAGAACTTCTCAATCTTCTCTTCTGAATCCTTAGCAACGGGAACAAGTTCCTCGAACTTGAAGTCTGCAAAGAAACAAACAAAGTAAGAATAAGATTCCAGGATCACAAGACAAAACATTGAAATCCTACCCTTCTTAACCCAATTTGTGGGCAAAAGATCCCCATTGGGAACGGAGCCGCGCCTCACAAAGAGGTCTCCCTTTCCAAGCCCCATCATTGTGCTTGGTTTTCAAGATTAGATAAGATCTGAGGGTTTTGACCTTAAGAAGGAAACGAGAATTCCCAAAGGTGGTGAGATCGTATATACATGCCAACTCAGAAAGGCCTATGTCAAGACCCTTTGATTGATTTATCTGGTCGACCCAATATAGGATCCTCCAGACAATTGGCATGGCCAAGATATACGAAATCCCAGTCACCCTAAAAAAATCGTAGACGATCCCGGGGAAAGGATATATCAAGCCTAAGGAGAAAGGATACTCAGGAAAGCACACCCAAGTGGGAGAGATGAAGTTGGGCTGAATCAGAGGATCAAAAGGCCTGAAAATAGCGTTGGGAGGAAAAGCCCCGTTGAGTTTTAGAGACTCAATGTCTTCATCGCCAAAAGAGCAGGTCTCCTCGTAAGAGAGGATCCCATGATCAATAAAATCATCGTCGGGAAGGGCCAAAATGCCCTTACGAGAGACAGCCATTTTTCGACCCATGGTAGAGAGATTAAAGGTCTGGAAGAAAAAATTACCTTGTAAATTGCAATATGGCACAAGAAAAGCAAAGAGGAACGGATGGGAGAATATGAAACTGATCCCTCCTATTTATACTGGGCCGGTGAATATGATTTAACTGCTAACGACTAGTAAACTATCCGTTGGAATTTAAATCACCTAGCCGTTATGGGTTAAAACTGAAAATTACTATTCCCCCTCCTCTTATCTATAAACTTTAAGTTATTCCTTTAATATTTACGGAACTAACCCCTATATTTTCATGAATAACTTGGGGGCAATTGTTGGGACCAGGATCCTTACTATATCAAGGATCCTCAAATATCAAAGATCCTCAAATATCCAGGATCCTCAGCAACATCAGGATCCTGGTTAATTGCCGTTATTATTTTTATCAATATTTATAACGGTCATATTTTGTCTATAACTAACATGTGTACAGAAGTAGTCAGGGGAAGACCAATTCTCAACGAAGAATCATCTCAACTATGCTAAAGACCCGGAATACTTGGTCAAATAATGTTCGTGAAGCTGATCATAGAGGATCCCAGAAATATCAGACATCTTGTTAGCTAAATTAGACTATAAATTGACACTTGTAATCTTCACACAACACACTGTTCATTAGCTTAAGCTTACTCTACGAAATTCTCTACTTATTCTTACTAAGAACTCACTGTAATCTTCATTTTTATATCAATAAAATCATCAAGGCAGGTGATCATTATCACCTCCCAAGGTTTTATGTCGGAGATCCTAGTAAGGATCAAGGGCTTTCCTTGTAAACCATTGTGTCACTTTCTTTTATCACTTGCTTTCACGCAATCTGAACATCATAGCCTCTTATTTAATTTGTTTGATTAATACTTGTGTAATTTTTGACCAAAACAGGACGTTTTAGAAAAGATGTTAGTATTTTACTAATATGAGGTTTAATTGTAAAATTGATGTGTCGTGTTTGAAAAACCAACAAAATTGTACTAATCTGGATGACCTAAGAAAAAAAGAAGAAAAAAAATACAAGTTACATAAGAAGTAGAGAATGCAATATAAGTTCGAACATTACATGAGAAATAAAGAATAAATACAAGTTTGAATGTAGGAAATACTTAAAACTACTTTGAGTAATTCTCAATGTTCTTCTAATTCAGTTCTCACTGGTAAATTGAAAAGAACCGTGTAATGCTCAAAACGACGGTGTTTAAGCATTTTTATTGGGGGCGTGCATAGGGCTGTCAAAGAGTCTCGTGGGACCTGAACCCATGGGGCCCCGATCCCGTATGTGAGATATTTGTTAAAAAAATCGGGGGCGGGGGCGGGGACGGGGCAATGTTAACCCCTGTTTTTAATTTCAGGGGTGGGGATGATGATGGGCAGTCCCGTCCAGATGCCCTATGGGGGCCTCGTTAATATATTATATATATTTATATATTAATTATACAAATATAATTAATAATAACAATAATTTTGAGCTTCGAAAATTCAAAAAAAAAATCATATTTTTAAGTTGTTAGTATAACGTTTTTGAGATGTGATAACATTTTTATTTTTAACATAAAATTATATTATAAATAACTATTTTTAACCCAAAAAATAGCTTCTTTAAACCCAAAAAACAACTTCTTTTAGCCAAACAAAAAATATCACAAAATCAATCGGGGGCGGGGGAACGGAGGCGGGGGTAATTCAGGAATTCGAGGGATGGGTTGGGGAGGTTAGAAATTTTGGGGGCGCGAAGGCAAGGGAATGGTGGAATTTCGGGGGCGGGGGATACAAACTCCGTCCCATTTGTTCCCGTTGACATCCCTAGGCGTGCAAAATAATGGTTATTTTGGGGATTGTTTTACTTCTATTTTTTAGAAAATGATTAATAGAAAATTTTATTTTTGTTTTTTCTCTTTATAATTTATACATTTAAAATAATCAATATCTCTTATAACTTCTATTTGTTAATATATAAATCCAATATAACAAACAATTACCATTAAAAACATACTCAATCATAAATTATAACATTCTACATGCGTGATACAAATGCGGAGGGACCAATTTTCTAACGGGAAACTGAATGAATGAACGTGGGATAATGGCGATGATGATGGTAGAGAAAACCCGCTTCTCATCGCCATTGAAATTCACATTCCCACCAGCAATGAATATAAGAAATCAAGACGAGGGAGATTAGGGTTTTGTTGTTCTTTGATTAACACACAATTAAAAATGAAAATGCAATCGATAAGAAGAACAACATTGCTGTAACAAGCCACTCAATCGATTGCTTCAATCCCAAGCTGCAATTCTCAAGAAACCCAAATAGATGGACAAGGAAAGGATTGCACAATACAACTTTATTTGCTTCACCTTCATCCTTTTGCAGGAATTATCGCATTTATATCCTTGTAAGCTTTCTCTATCTCATTCTTCTCATTCTAATTTTACTCTATTTATTCATATATCCAGGTGCTATGTCAATAAATTCTTCAATTTGCCTTTCTCAATCTCCCTGATTCTTGTTCTTGATTCTTGATTCTAATTTTCACCGATTGATAGAACAATGTTTGATGTTTTTTCTCGTTTTCTATTTAACCAACAGATTTATAGGAAAAGAGGAACAGTTGCAAAGAGGGTTTGCTAGAAGTGTACGTTTTCGGATCTTTGAACTTTTCTTTCTCTGGTTGTGTTTAATCTGTAACGCAAATGCTCGGAAATTAATTTTTCTATTTGAAACGAACAGATTTAATAGTGAAAGAGGAACGATTTCCAAAGGGGTTTCCTAGGATTGTACGTTTTCGAATCTTTAAACTTTTTCTCAAAAGAATCTTGTTTTTATCTAAAAAAACTGTTGAAGATGAAGGATCATTTTATCTTGCTGGTTGATCGTTTGCTCACTGAATCCTCTCTTGAAGCTGTTATTGCCACGGATTCAGTAAATGAAGAAATGGTTACTGATGTTTCTTCTCATAGGATGGATCTCACTTTTGAATCAAAGCCAAAGAAATTGGTGGAATGCAGGATTTGTCATGATGACGATGAAGACTCCAACATGGAGACACCATGTGCATGTCGTGGCAGCTTGAAGGTTTGCTCTTCTTAATCTTCATAATTAAACTTCAAAAAACAACTTTTAAACATCTATGAGTAGATTTATCTTTTCTTTAATAACTCTTCAAAATCATGCCAAATTTAGAAAACTTTGTGTCACGTGTTTATAGTTTGCCCACCATAGATGTGTACAACGGTGGTGTAACGAGAAGGGGAACACCACGTGCGAGATTTGCCTCGAGGTAAAGGGCGTTTTAGTCATTAATGCACTTTAGAATTTAGATTCAAATTGTGTTTGCTATTATGAGTATAAAAGTAAAGTTCTTTTGTTTTTCTTTGAGTTTTTCAGCCATTCAAGCCCGATTACACATCACCACCTCCGTCACTCCATGGAGATCCGATGAATTTCAGGTGTCGTTTGAAGTCAAGAAATCTTTTTTTTTACACACAAATTTGCTAAAAAATAAAAATCGATTGGTTCGTTATGTTAAACTAGGGGCAATTGGGAGATTTCACGAAGGGATCTTTACAATCTTCAATTTTCAACCATGGTTTCTTCTGGTCATGAAGAACCGGACTTCGATGACTATATTGCCCCTAGTCCGGGAAGCTTAACATGTTGCCGTGTAATTGCTATAATGGTAATGTACTTTGTATTTGTCATCTAAGACTGTGTTTGTTACACTAGACTGGACAAGCTTTCTAGGGCTATTTTCCATGATGATGACGAGGGCATTTACGTCTTTTGTACAAACAAGAGATCAAGAGCGAGTCTGGTCCCACCTTCTAGGTTGAAATGTAGGATATCAGTTTCAGTTCCAGTTTAATGCATGTCAAATGTCGTATATGTCTATCTTGTCTTGTTCTGCTTTGTCATGTCATGTCGTGTCCTGCTGTATTTTTTTTTTGCAGTTTATGACACTTCTAGTGTTACGTCATACTCTACCGATTATTATCAATGGTACAGGAGGATACACTATTACGATGTTCACGGTAAAATGGCTTCGTACACTTTTTTTTTAAATAAAAATTTGTTGTTTATTTTTTATTTTTTAAATAGTTTTTTATTGTTGGTGTAGTTGATTATGTTAAGGTGTATCGGCGTTATTTTGCCAATTTATATCATGTTTAGAGCTTTTATTGTCGTGCAACGTGGCCTCCAACTAGAGGTAAGAGTTTTAAATGGATTTTTTTTTTCTTTATATATTTGATCTCTAAATTTTTTATAAAATTTAAACAATCATTATGGTTTGCTAGGAACATCGGTATTTCCACTCGGATGAAGAGAACGATCTTCCACAATCATCGTCAGATCTGCGCCTAGTTCATGTCCATTGACTTCATGGCGATTGTTATCATAGAGCTTTGCATGGTTTTTGGGACTCGATGCATGGATAAAGGTTGAGGATGGGTGATATAAAGTAATTTTGTATCATATTTACATTAAGCATTAATTCTTGTAAAAAGTTGCTTTGTACATAAATATGAAATTGTTTGGTATCAGAATGAAATTAACTATTTTAGTTAAAATAAAAAAATTTCGTTCAAGAAAAAACTATCGTATTTGCTGGATCATGACATCATGTCTTAAGTAATAAGTGTTCTCATTGATAATTTGATTTTATTTGAAGAAACATAATCATTGAAGTCATCTTCAAGAGGGTCGATATTCTTTACAAATTTGAGATTTCTATGTTTTTAAGGTTAAAATTAAAATGAGAGTGTTTTATGATGAAATTGTTTGCAATTATTTCGACGATATGGATTGATTCGTTCTTGGAAAAAAATATTGGTAGATGAAGGCGTATTAAGATTTCAAAATGAAGCATATTGTGACGTTACACATAAGCTTGTTAAAATGGACACAATAAAGTCTTGATAAGTGTTATTATGGATAACTCAATTATATATAATATTAACAGCGGTTCAGTAAAAAATTGTTGTTAAAATCTCAGCCCTTTATTTTTTTTAAGTTTCAATCTTGACCTTAATAACTAGTTATTTACGGTTTCTTGGGTCCCACAGCCGCCGACGATTAACTGATATTCTTTTAGTTGATGCCTAGCTCCACAAGACAAGGCCGTCTTCGCACGTTCTCCTCTCCCCAGGCCACGATCCCTTCAACCCTCACTCCACCTTTAAACTTCAACACCGTGCAACCCAATCTGTCAGTTCACATCCTTCTTCGACCCATATTGCCACGTTGCCCTGGATGTTTTCTCGGATGAAAACCGCAAAAGGCACCATCTGACTGACTAATCATAAGCCACCATCCCATTATTCATGGATCGCACAACCATGTTCACTCAAATGTCACGTGTTATGTATATACACAAACAAATTTTGCTCATAATTTTACATTCTTTGAATAGATTTGGTTTTCATCATCCTCCCTTCAACAATAATAACTATATCCACCTTCACTATTTGGCACTTCCATATGAATCCATACATATACGAATTTTTATTTTTTTCACGTAAAAACCATTTTAATATTTAAGAATATCAAAATAAGTGGAAAACAGTGAAATACTCATTGTTGAGACCGCAAGATGAATTTATTGAAGCCGAAAGGTATTGGAAAATTCAAACTCATATTAGCAAATGTATTGCTACATATAAATTATATTTAAATTGTTTTACATGTTAATTGGCCTTAGTTTCCATTAAATTTATGGTTTCCTCTTTGATCCTATAAAATATCAAATGTGAACTAGATGCATGGCATGCATTTTTTAATGTTGTACTAGTACAACCGATAATAATGAGTTGACATGCTCATTTTCAAGTCATGAGAAAATAATATTTTTAGTTTTCATAATTTTTTGTTCGTATATATACATTTAGTCTTGACCAAGCATTTTTTGTGGTAGGGGTGTGTTTGTCTTGGTCTCTTACAGAAATTAGATGTTGGTATCCAGACTACGCCTATATGGTTTTAGTTTGTCGAGTTGAAATATGAAAATAATATGATGTATAGGTATGCATTTTAAAAATAATAAGTGCATGACATTAGTTACTTAGTATGATATTGTAGACTACAAAATGAATATAAATGTCACTTTGGGCATTTTTCACTGTCATAGTCTCGATTGAAGCGGAGCAATAGAGGTGTATGGTGATAAACATACATAGTTTTCGACGTTTATTAGTATTGGTTGGATGTTTTGGCTTTAGTAGAAAAGAACCCATCAAATAAATACAACATTAATATATTTCTAAAAATGAAAATGTTGTATTTTGAATAACATGTAATATTAGGGTAAAATATGAATAGTGTTATGATATAAATATCAATAACTAAATTAATTTTAATATTTCTTTGTCAAAAATTTAACTATGTAATTTTACGTTGTGCAATATGCGGCTATTCATCTAGTAATATAAAGAATGCTAAGTTTCACCTTTTTATCCATGTTTCTTATAAAATGTTGTATTTTGAAATCATAACTTTTGTTAATTTAGATTTAACCCAAAAAAAAACAAAAAAAGACAAACAAAAACAAAAACAAATCAACCAAACCAATTAACCAAAAACTGAATAAACCAAACCTTATTCGGTTCGGTTTTGGTTAATATTTTGATAGAAACTGATTATACTTAACCGAATAAACTAATAACTAATTAAAGTGGCCGCATAACACCCTTAATTATAATAAGTCAACCGAGAAAACTCGACCACCCTTACCATTGTTCCTCTTCTGCCCCATGCATTGGGTTTTGATGTAAAAACGAAATATAAAAGGCAAACGGGAGATGATCTTGAACCAAACAATCCTTATTTCCCTCTAGGAGGAAAAAAAAAACCCTCCACGAAAACAGTGCTTCAATAGAATGTCTCCCAACCAAGTATCCTCCTTAAAATTTTCCCATTGGTCATTCCTCACCTTTAAAGAAACAAAACACATTTAAGTCCGACCCTCGACCTTGAAGTTGTAAGAAGCTCGAACAATATTACTCTATTGGCGATTAAATAGACCCCTAATCATGGAATAACCAAAATGATCGACTTCTTTATAGATGGATTTGATAAACCAAACCCACAACGCTTGATCATCTTCAAAAAAACCTTCAACTTCATTTAAAGAGAACTACATGGTTAAAGGGAAAAAAAAAACTATCTACACCTAGTCCACCAACTTTCTTACTAGAAATTATGATTTATAATCATGACTCTCAAATGGTGTTTGAGATATATACTATAAGGAGAGATTATATTTTGTAAAGTGGTTAATCCTTAAGAATGAATTCAAGTAACTTTGATGGAAAAGTTAATTTTGAATTTAAAAGTATTACTCACTAAGTTTTGTAGCTTATAATTGTGTAAATTGTATAACATGATATTTGAGATGGTGGAATGGAAAAAGGACACGATATTTTGGGAAACAAACATGATGTTTATGTAATAGTTGTATTTTAGTTTTCTTAAGACTATGTAAACATTATGACTCTTGGTCACTTTTTAAACATGTAAAATATTTTGTTAAAAAAATTATGAATGTATGGTTGATATGAAAATATATTGTGATTTTTAAAAAAAAAAAAAAAAAAGTCATAGGTGTTATAGTCCGATTGGTCAATTTACATTGTTGTAGGATACTTTTGTTATTTTCAACTAAATCCTAGTTGTTTACAGATTGAAACTCATTCAAAACTTTTGAATTTACTTTTTCAAAGAAATTGGGGTGTATTTATTTTCTTATATTTCTCAACTAAATCCTAGTTTTTACAGATTGTTAGTAGGTTGCTCTCGCTGAGTGCTTATATGACGAATAGATCTGACCATATATCATGAATTAAAAGGCCATCAATAGGCAATCAGGAGACATAAAAATGTAAATTTACCTTTAGTATTTACTTCGCAAATAGAAGTCATTGTATTTATGGAATTCATGAGTAAAGTACATAAATATAAAGTTGAAAATATAGGTCGAGCCTTTTGACAATAACAAAAAAACTTACATGAAACATTTCAAATGTACTTGAAGAATGATTAAAGAAAGAAAGGTCTACTTTACCTTTTCACTACAAGAAAATTTCAATTTAGCTACGGAAAAATTCCGTAGCAAAAGGTTAAAATTCCGTAGCTAAAGCTGATTAACTACGGAATTTGCTACACAAATTTTCAATCAGACTCCGTTGCTTTTTTCCTCGTAGCAAAATGTTTAGCTACGGAATTATAACTCTGTAGCAATTTTGCTATGACATTTTCTACGACATCTATTTCATTGCAATTTGAGATCCATAGCAAACTCCGTAGCAAATTTTCCGTAACAAATTCCGTAGCAAATTCCGTAACAATTTTTCCATAGCAAATTCCGTAGGCGTTTTTCCATAGCAACTTCCATAGCCATTTTTCCATAGCAAATTCCGTAGCAAATTTTCTGTAACCAATTCCGTAGCAATTTTTTCATAGCAAATTCCGTAGCCATTTTTCCATAGCAACTTCCATAGCCATTTTTCCATAGCAAATTCCGTAGTTAATTATGGAGTATTTGTTGCGTAGTCAATTCCGTAGGGATTTTTCCATACCCAATTCCATAACGATTTTTCATAGCAAATTCTGTAGCACATATTCCGTACAATTGTTCGATAAAATCCGGTTATTCATATCAATTATTTACATCAATTTATAAAAATTAATTAATATAAAACCAAAAGTACCAAAATATTTCTATAGAAACTAAAAGAAATATCCAATATATCAAAAGAATACATATTTCAAAATCAAAAGCCGCTACAAATTAAATATAAAGCGTTATTCGATACATAATATTTTATCATTGATTAATAAAAGTTTTGACCTATTCACTCGAAGTGTTAAACATATTCATTGCTTGTGAAACGTATATTTGTATGTTGCTTTCGTTTCAATCTTGGAGCATCTTTGTTTTCCTTTGATTTATCACCACGTGCTTCCCTTAATAAGAATTGTGACATCATTCCTAAAATTTTAAAAACTTAGGAAGTTATAAATCTGTTGGTTCACAAATATTACATAAATATCAATGTACTTTTTTACATTAAAATACCAATGTACTTTTGGTTGCTTATTTATTTGAGCATCCTACTTTTTCCAATGAAAATTTAGCTAATTGTAGCAATGTGATCTAATACAAAAGCTAAAAGTATAATGCAAATATTTTAATGAAAGTAGATTGCTATTTTTTGCATTTAGGCTTAGCCCTTTAAAAATGAAAAAAAATAACAACTTATTTTTAGGCTTAGCCCTTTAAAAATGAAAAAAAAATAACAACTTATTTTTAGGATTAGCCCTTTTAAAACTAAAAATGGAACTATTTTTAAAGTACAATATCATAGCAAGTATAAAAGATAAAGCACAAAGCTTAAACATGATGGTTTTGTAGCAAAATAACTATGAAATTCATTTCCGTAACTAAATTCCGTTACAAAATGGCTACGGAATATCATTATGTAGCAAAATAGCTACGGAATTTAGATTTGTAGTAATTTCCATAGCAAAATAGTTATGTATTTTAATTTTGTAGCAAATTCGGTAGCAGATATCTACAAATTACGATTCCATAACTAATTTCCGTAATTAGTTATAAGTTTGCTACGAAAGTTTATTTTGTAGAAAATTTTGTAACAAAAAATCTACGGAAAGTCGTTCCGTAGCATATTCCGTAGCAAAATGGCTACGGAATTTGATTCCGTAGCATTTTTCCGTAGCTATTCATGATTTTTCTTGTAGTGTTTGTTTGATCTTTATAAAGGAGTTGATGTCTGTCCCTGCAACATAAAACGAGCCAAAACTTGTTTCTATTTCGTACATCGTTACTGTAGTTTACAACGGATTAACAAGTTATGTGTTACATGCATGACCCTCAAATTTTAATGACTAACCTTTAGTCGTAGGAGCTTTGATAATTAAATTATATTAATAATGTGATAAAAGATTTGGTTCGATTCTGATCATTGTTGGATAACAACAGTAGTAAAATTGTCACAAGAAGATGATTTTAGTACATGTATTCAGCATCAGGTATGAACAAGTTACTTCTGTGTGTGATTTATTGTGTTTTTAAGTTCTTTTAGTTTAACTACATCTACAACTAATACATGGATTCGTGGTCAACCCCAAGTTTTGTTGACTTAACTATGTGGGTTAATGGTTAATCTTTGTGGTTTGTAATATTAGGTTAGCTTATTTAATTTGTGAAATATCTTTTTAAAATTTCGAAAATGCATTATTTTGTACAATAAGACTTGAATACATAACTGGTTGGATTACATCTAGTAAAGGAAATAATAAATGTCCAAAAATAAACAAAATTATGAAAATGGAAAAATAATTCTAAGATGCTTGGTTACAAAACAAAAGAGGATTCACATAGAATGGCAAACCTAACTAGACGTGTGCATTTTCTAATTAGAAACAATTAAAAAAAATATTATCAGTAAATGATATGAATTATGATAAATAGCAAATACGAGGTAAAACTTGCTAAAATGAATGGAACTTTTTATGTGATTCGGTAATTTTCCTAGAATATTGCAAAGAAAAAAATGGATATTGATAACGAAATTAAATAAGTAATTCAATACGCACAAAACATACCTTAAATTGAGTTTACAGAGGTTGTTATAAAAAGAGTGTATGTGACACGATGTGAATACAACATTAGAAATAGTATCAGTGACTTCTTGTAATTTCTCTTTTTATTCAAAAAGCAGAAGCTTAATCTTTAATTAAGTAAGAAAATAAAATTGAAATCCATGTATTCTCCACAGTCATCTATTGATATTTCCAAAAGTGCCCCCATATTAAAATTGGTGGTGGTAGGTGTGAATACATTTCTAAAACTCTTACAACTTTCAATGCTTATACTTTCAACAGCTTCAAAGCCACAAACAAGGGGGCAAGAGTTATTTTCACCTTTTATACTCCACACCTCTCTTAACTTCCATGAATTCTTCACTTTAATGTTTCTTAAGCTCCTCATGTTGTGTTTTTCTCCTATGGCATCAACACAATCCAAGTCGATGTTGAATAACGATTCAATGGAACCACATTTCTTGACTTCAATCTCTTCAAGATGATGCAGCAGAGACATGGGGTTGTGTGGAAATAGATTCACAAGGTTATCACAGTTACTCACTTCAAGCTCTTCAAGCTCTTAAGTTTTAACTCTACAAGTTGTGGTAGCTCAAGTTTGTTGACATTTTGGCACAAACTCGATAGCTTTGGTAGCCGATTCAAAGATAAAATCTTCAGCTTTAGGAATGTAATTGTCTCTTTTCCAGCATTCTCAATACATATGAGTTGTTTAAAGACCATGACAATCTGTCAAATCAAGTAACCTTAGCTTCTTTAAATTTCTGATAGTGGAAGGTAACATTTCAATGCCAGAATTAGCAAAGCTCAACACTTCCACATTTGACATATTTCCAATACAAGAGCAATCAAACATCTTTAATGAACATTCATGGAGATGAAGCACTCGAAGGTTGGTGGAGCATTGAGGTGATACTGTTGTAGCAAATCCCTTAAAAACTAACCCAGATGCCTTCACAAAAATGGATTTTACAGAGGCATCTCTTAAATCACTCTCATCAGAAAGGTACGGTCAGTACCTATTATTCTTCAAAAGATATGTGAAATAAGGATCAGCTTATAATGAGCAAGTTGCAAAGCTACTGATTCAGTAACAGAGCCAAGAAAGAAACTTAATTTCCTAGGCGATGATACAACAGTTTGCAAAGCAGTATTTAGGGATGAGCAACCTGATACGTGTCTGGTGTGTCAAACATAATCCAGCTAGATTCGGAGGTCAAGACTCAAGAATCACAGCCCCCTGACCAAGCTCTCTTCTTCGCAGAATCGGAGTCGAATCAGAATCGAGGAAAGAAAAAAAAAAAAAAAGGGAAGTTGGAACTTGAAACTTTTAAGGAACGACTGAACGGTAATGAAGTTGACTAGGTCTTCAATGGAGTGATACTGATCGCCAGATGTGTGCGTGCGTGCGTGTTAGAAAGGAAAAAAACAATCCAGTCCATTTCATATTTTGGGCTAAAATAGCCAATGGGTTTGGCCAGTTATGTATTTTGCTTAAAAATCGACCCAAAAGCTACAGTCAAAAGTATCGATATTCAAATATTAAGGGTAAGCATGGACCGGGTTGGGTCGGTTTTGAGCTAAAACCAAATCTAAAACCCAACTTTCGGTTTTCAGAAAACTAGAACTCAACCCAACCCAAAACGTATGTGTTCGGTTTTTTGGTTTTACTGGATCGGTTTCGGGTTTAAACCCAAACCTAACTTTGAGGGAATTGTCAACTTGAGGTTGTCTTATATTAGAGTTAAAGAGGATTTAAGTTTCATATGGTGAGTTTGGAACCTGGGTGGGGTAGCTGAAGCTTCAAGCACCTCAACGAGTGGACTAGGCTACCATTTTGTTTGTAAGTCACAAATACATAAATATATACATGTAATTACAGAATACACACACATACACACACACAAACATATATATATATATATATATATATATATATATATATATATATATATATATATAATTCCAAAATAGATATATATTGATGTAGTTGATGATCTTTGTGTTTTTTGAGAAGCCATAATCGATGATGGGATTAGGAATTAGGAGAATCAAGAATGGTGATGATCGACGATCCTTGTGAATTGTGATCGTCTTTGATCGAGAAGACAGGAGAAGACTCACGACAGGAGACTTTGATCGGTTAGGGAATACATTTTGAGCCTTAAAAACAGTATCCCATTAGCCTTTTTTGGATTTAAACTTAAAAAGCCCATGTAAACCCTAAAATAAAATAGAAATGGTTAGGAAACTTCACCGAAACTTCAAGGAAACTTTGCAGAAACGTTTCCATGATACCCGATACTTCTAGGAAATGTTTCCATGGAGTTTCCGAAACGGGAACGTCGACCTTAGAGAAGTTTCTGTGCATCGTAGGTGAAAACCCTAAAATTAGGGTTTTTGATTTTTTGTTCTAGCATTTGATAGGAAGTATTATGTTGCCAAATCGTTTATGAATGTTGTTGAAATCTTAAATGGCGCAAAAATCATTTTTTTCTGTGATTGTGTATTCGAACTTGATAATCATTGTAACGTCCGGTTCCTGGTATGTATTTTAATAAAGAATTATTCATTTTTGCAAAGGGAATCTACGAGTTGGAGGCCCCAAACTCGTCGAGTAGGAATAGGAGAACTTTGGACGCGGGACTTGAAGTCTACTCGACGAGTCGAGAAGCCTCGACTCGACGAGTAGGTCTGCCAGAGTGAAACCCTAATTTTTAGGGTTTGCACCCTATTTAAACACCTTATCTGGCCTCAACTACAGTGTAACGACGTAAAATTTTCAAACAATTTTTCTCATTTTTAAAACAAAATATGTCTCATTTCATCATTCTCAAAAATCACATGTATCTCAAATATCAACAAATAAAACATAAATCCCAGAATCATAAAACCATCTCTCGCCAGTGTGTACAATCATGCCGGTGCCTTGCCGCGATCCTCGGAACTACCTGAAACACATAACATAGAACACGGTAAGCATAAAGCTTAGTGAGTTCCCCAAAATACCACACACAACACAACAGCCACTCGAGGCTATACTCAATAAGACCCTCTGGTCAATGTGTCTCAGTGGGACCCTCCGGCCCCATAACTCTGATGGACCCTCTGGTCCCTCAACTCAGCATCTCAATATAATACATGGTAAGCATATCACAACAAATAGCAGGATTTCTCAATACACAGCACATACACATAAGACCCGCTGGTCACACATAAGTTACCACTCAAGGTAAGTATAGTGAGAAGACTCACCTCGTAAGATAGCTAGTAAAAATCTGATGCCCGAACTCCTCGATCTAGCCTCCGTCTATCACAAGGATAAAATTTCTAATTAATACACTCCTTACATTCTCATTCCTAGAAAATGGGTGGAAGATCATTCCACCCTTCCCTGACCTCTCTTAATCAGTTTGACCAAACCCTAAGGTCAACTGAAGTCAACTCTAGTCAACAGTCCAATATTAACCAGACTCGCCGAGTGCACTCGTGTGACTCAGCGAGTTCATGCGTATCCTCTGGATTCCCCTTAAGGCCTTACACGACTCGTCGAGTTAACCTCCAACTCGATGGGTAATCACTGGGTCACGAATCGCGGGGCAAATCCGACCCGACTCATCGAGTCATCTCATGGACTCAGCGAGTCGTCTCCATTGCATCACTCATATGGCCTTCTGAAGTCAGATCCGGAACTCTAACTCATAGATCTGGCCCTCTAGCATCCAAAAGTTATGTAAAGGTCTGAACTTGGGGTTCATGCATGGTGTATATTGCTCTATATACCATTTTGGCCCTCTTAAAGCTTCATAGCTTCAAAACCCCAAGGTTATCCAGACATGGCTAGCTACTTTCTGGTTCTCTGGTCCTCTCAAGGTCCAGATCTAAAGAATAACTCGAGAAAGGGTTTGGATGCACCCAAAACCCCATCAAAATGGTGATACAAGCCCTATCTTAACAACCAAAGGAAAATTTATCCAAACGCAAGGAAGGTAAGAGCTTATACTCGATCTGAAGCTTGAAGTGAAGATGAAACTGATCCCCCAACTCTCATCTGAGATTCTTGCAACACTCTTGATCCTCTTCTCAAAGAAATGACCTCAAATTAGCCTCTTTCCTCTCTAGCTCACAAATGACTCTAGGGTTTCTCTCAAGGGACGAAGACACTGATGGGAAGGGGCCAATGAGGCCATAAGTGCCTTTAAATAGGCCCAAGCCCGGGAAAATTAGGGTTTCCGCCTCCAACGCCGACTCGTCGAGTCGGCTCTCTGAGTCGTCGAGTCCATTCATTTTCCACGTCACCAAGTTGCGATCCTACTCGACGAGTTAACGCGCCAACTCGTCGAGCCACTCCTCATATCTCAAAATAAATACTCAATTTATCATACCTGGAAATCTGGATGTTACATACAGCCTCCATCACCTCCAGACCTTAGTCACGAAACCCTAACCCATTATGAGTGTTCTTGAGCCATTGTTGTGTGTTTTTTGTGATTTTGAAGCTTGAGAAGGAAGAGGAAGCTTGGGGTTCAAGAGGAAGCAAGTAGATCCATACTTGGTGCTTCATTTCTAGTTCATTTGAAGTATAAAGTCTATACCTTGACTATTCATTTGCTAGATCCCTTCATGGAGCAGTTTAGGGCTTTAAGGAACCATTTTTGGAACCATTCATGGATGCAAGCATGTTTGGGGTTAAGACTTCAGATCCAGGGTCTTTGAGGGACTCCATGGCATAAAGGTGCCAACTTTATGGCCATGGGAGTCCCATGCATCATAAGAACCACTTTTAGAGCCTTTTTGAGCTAAACAACCCATGCATGAACGTAAAGTTTGTAACTTTACATGTTATATCGACCCTAGAAGGCCAGATCTATGTTTTGGATGCATTAAGCTCGACTAAAATCGGTTGTATGGAATTAGACTTTAGGGAACTCGACGAGTCGTTCTTAGGGCTCGGCGAGTTGGGTCGTGGTTCCCCAACCTTTTCTGTTACTGAGCAAACTTGTTGAGTCTAGAAGACGAATCAACGAGTTGGACGTGTTTATGGACTTAAAGATCTAAGAACTCGACGAGTCCAAGGATGAACTCGGCGAGTTGATAGCAAATGTCCCGACTTGTATGAAGAGGAACTCGATGAGTTGAAGGATGAACTCGGCGAGTTGCGAGTGATATAACCCGACTTGTATGAGGGGGAACTCGACGATTTCATGGAAGGATTCGACGAGTTCAAACGGAAAGTACCGATTCTGTCATAAGGAGAAACTCGGCGAGTTAGAGGGTAACTCGACGAGTTAGATCGCGAGTTCGAGATTCTTTGAATCGTGGGACTCGACGAGTTGACGGACCAACTCGGCGAGTTGAGTCAACCAGAATGTTGACTTTGGACCAGAAGGTTGACTTTGACCAGAAGTGTTGACCCTTGACTTGACCATTGACCAGAGCTGACCCTTAAAGGGGTTATGAGTATGAACGAGTAACTAAAATATGTTATGTGTAGGAGTT